GCTTTTAACCTTTATCTCAACAGTACTGATTATAATGTTAAGTAATTTATGTGAATATATAAATACCAAATTGTCTTTTCTCACATAGAACCAGAGCATTTAAAAAGCTTGGTGTCTTAATCATTTTTTAACATGTTACATGTTTTGGTTTGAAGATGCTGCTTAAATCCTTGAAGAATATTTTTTTAATGGATGAGGTTGAGCCTTCATTATTTTTGTAGTTGTATAACAAATAGCTCTGTTATTTTCCTGACTTTAACTCGTCTCTTGAATAGACATTTTTTCTTCAAACAATGAGCAGGAGCAGCTTTGATCCTTGTTATTGAGACATCTTTTATTAATGAAGTGAAATTTGAATTATACAATATGCAACAAAAAGAAGAGAAAATAGAAGGCAGACCATACTTGTGGAGTCATCCAGCTGTTGAAATATGATTTGAAAAAAAAAAAGGTCTCTGTGTTAGGATAAAGACAACAGTAATTTGTTTTTGTGCTAGTCACAAATAACACAGAAGGTAAGCACTGATATGATTTACCCTGTTGTGTGTTTATTAGAGTTGGAGTAAAACATAGTTATTAGCAACTTCCACCATCTTTTGTAATACATTTGCATTTTAACAGGGCAGGGTACTTGGAAAGTCAGGGGTGAGCTCTGTAGAAGTAACACTTTGGCGTTGCTGTTTCACACAAGCAAATGAGGACTGACAACCACTAAGTGCAATCCAGGCTTTCTGAAGAAAAATATAGGCCATGGTAAACACAAAAATACATTCCAGCCTGCAGGGCCTAATCAAAAAATAAGCCTCTTGAGAGGCAAAATGATTGTGCACCACCACAGTACCGTTGCCATCAGCTCTCCTGGCAGTGCTGGAGCCGCTGGATTCAGTTTTGATCTCCTGATTTACCTCCGTGTGTCTCGAATCAGGCTGCATTTTTTTCTAGGTGCTTTCAGGGAAACCTGATCTGCCCTATAATCTTGCTTAGCTCCTGGGCATTAGAGTATCAGCACTGTGCATAATTCAAGCAGGGTTATGCAGCTCTCTTCTAACATACAGGGACAAGGGGACAGATTACAGTAATTTCTCCTGATTGGCAAATGAAAGGCAAGGGAGATGCAGTTTTGTTAAACTGCTCCCAGGGCAGTCAGTAGCTGCTGTAGGCAACAGTCCTGTTTTCTGTTCCTTCGTGCTTCATGTTCCCACCCCTTTTGTTTTTCAGAGTTAGAGAAGGTGTGACTGTGCAATTGGGCCATCCAGCAAAATTCTCCAGAGTTGCATAATTCACAGATTTTTGTTTTTCATAAGGAATAAGGCTGGTGGCAGGTAAAATCTTCCATTTAATTTGATACAAAACCCCTTTTTCCTTGCATCTCAATATAAGAAGAAAATGTGGACATGTTTCTTGGTTAAGCAGAATATTTCTTAGCAAATAAATTGTATGAGTTTAAATATATTCAAACAAATAACTCCTGCAAGATACTAAAATATATTTAAACATAGATTAAATATCTTTCTTGTTCTAGGATTATATTGATTATATTTGATTATATTTATATCACAAATTACATTTGTCATGTAATGTCATGGAGTGCTGCCATGGATGGCTACGAGCTCTTCAGAAGGGACAGGCAAAGTAGAGGAGGTGGAAGGATGGCTCTATATGTTAGAGAGTCTCTTGACTCTGTAGAACTTAAAGTCAGTAATTATAAGGCTGAGTCCCTGTGGATCAGAATCATTTGTGTTCCCAGTCTGAAATATCTACTAGAGAGCTTCTTGAAAGTAGTTCAGTTTCTAACTAATCTTTCGAAGCACATCTGCACATTTCTATTCCCAGCTGCAGAGACAGGATAAAATAAAGGTTGAATAGCATTGAAAACCTATAAAACTGGATTTCACAAATCACACTGTTGTTTTTTTTTTTTATTGTGCAGTTTCTTTTGTCTTCAAGTATCTAGGGGCTTAGCTGTGATTTGAAAGCCTTTAGCATTTTTTAAAATGCTAGTTAAGAAATTGTATGGAAGTCATTGAGTTTTCTTAGTTGTTTGCCACAGCACCTGTAATTTAGCATGATTATTCTTCAGTATCAATTAATAATCCATGCAAAATTGCTGTATGTGTTCAGGAATGGATTTAGAACTGCTGCAAAGCCCTATTCATAACTTTCCGTTAACACTCTTGGTAATGTGGCAGTCATTTTTTAATACATAACCCTTTATCTTTGTTTTATTCATGATAATAATGATGTCTGAGCAAATGTCAGATGGAAGAGATCTCTTAAAGTCAGATTCCAGACACTGAATTTTAATGTTTACCCTGCAATCTTCAGCATAGTTAAAGCAAACAATTTCTGTAGTGTTCGAAATTGCAAATGTTAGAGTTACTCATCTTCAGTATTGTCATCTGTAACACTGCAGGCAATACTTAACTGGTTTTATTTAGCTTGGACTTTATCATAAATACTAAGTCACTGAAGTGGAAACTGAGGTAATATATCTTGAATTCTATTTACCTTTCTGTCTGGTGCAAGACATGCCTTTATTTAGCAATGTACTCTTTCCCCTCCCTACATCCCCTGAAATTAGACTCTTGCCATAATTGTTCCAAGGAAGAGTTTTATAAATAATACAAGCCCTTAAAGTTGAATTGAGAGGTCTACTGGTAAGGCAGATGGAGTCAAGAATGTAAAATCATAAGCTGGGAAGCTGCAGTGGCCTATCTCTGTCCTGGTCTCATAGTCAAGAAACTCAGAGACTGTAAAATGTGTGATTGTAATTCAGAACTACTTCCACCTAGACCATCCTGATCTATCTGCTTCTACAGCTCAGCCGCAGTGTTGTAGATCGGATTTGCCATTTTCTGGAATACTACACCACATTCCATTTTTTGGAATGCTTGGCTGGAGGAGTGCTTCACCATGCCATCATGAGGATGGGCTGAGAGAGCTGGGGATGTTCAGCCAGGACAAGAAGCTGGGGAGACCTTACAGCACCTTTAACAAGGACATGTAGTGACATGGGGACTTAAACAAGGGACATGTAGTGACAGGCTTCAAACTGAAAGAGGGCAGCTTTAGACAGTATTAGGAAGAAATTCTTTACTGTGAGAGTGGTGAAACACTGGCACAGGTTGTTCAGAGAAGTTGTGCCCCATCCCTGGAAGTGTTCAAGGCCAGGTTGGATGGGGCTTTGAGCAACCTGGGACAGTGGAAGGTGTACGTGCCTGTGGCAGAGGGTTGGAACTAGTTGATCTTTAAGGTCCCTTCCAACCAAAATCACTCTAGGACTCTTCATTCACTAGCTGAAAAATAATAAAAATAATATAAAATAGTTTTGGGGCTTGAGGAAAGGCAACAGATGAAACAGAATCTGTTCCTTCTGCTGGGTTTTATTTCAACCTGAGATGCTACTCCAGATGGTAAGGAAGAAGAACATCCTGGCACAGCCTGACTTCCGTGGCATAGCTGGTAGTGTCAAGCTCTTTGCAGAAAGACATGCAGTCCCTTCCTGGAGTCAGGAGGATTTGGCACTTCGTGTTAATTCTGCATTAAAAGGGGAATTCCACTGTACCAACCTGCAGGTTCTCCATAGTGCACAGGTAAGAACGTGATTTTGTATTTCCCTTTGTAAAGGCTCTTCTATATTAATGAGGGTTAAAAGGGTGCATTTCATCCAGTGGAACTCCTTAAAGGAAAAACAAACCTCTCATGAAAAGACTTCTGAATTTGAGGCAAATACTTCAGGGAATAGCATATTAAAACAGTGTTATATCAAAAAGCAGAAAAATACTTAGGTAGGTGAAAACACTTGTGTCAGCTTTTGTATAGCAATGTAGAAGCTGCATACAGTGAGAGCTTCTAAGATCAACAGTAAACACATTCTTTAGCTCTTAAAAGCATCTGATGAGCTGGGGGACTGTGCTTTTGACTTCTATACTTTGTCTTTAAATTAAGATGCCCTAATTTGTGCTCCTTATCACATAATGCCGTGACTTTTACAGCAGTCAGCAGGGATGGGTCTGTGTTTCTGTACAGCAGCTGAAGAAAATGTCAAGTACAAAGACATGCACTGCTCTCCTGATACAAATTAGCTTATCACGTAAATTGGGAAATAGAGAACTCTGACCCTATTATAGCAGAATGTAAGATAGTGGATTAACACTCCAGACTTCTAATTAATCACAATGTGTCTCATCCTCCTGATTGCAGCTGAGTAGGCCATTCTTCTAAGTTAAGCCCACAGCTGTCCAGTATTAACACTTATCTGTCAGTACTGCCCCTTGTGCAGCTGTTGGCCAAGGTGACAAGGTTGCAATCCTGCATGTTCGAAAAACAGAACATTCAGAAACATCCTTACATGTGAACTATACCTTTATTGTGTCAATACTTAAAAAAACCCCCATAAATCTTAAATTCTAAAAAGTGAATAACACACTGCTCTGCTTATGCTATTTTCTCATGCAGGTAAAAGTACAGAGCAGTACTGATCATAGTTCTTCTATAACATGCACAAAGTATTTTATACAAACCACAATATCATCAAAGGTTTAAAGCTTTACTGAAATGGGAATTCCAAAATGTGTTATGTACATACCGAACTTATTTAAGATCACACAGATTAGTCTGATACCACTTCTGAGGTAAACTTATATATCACTAAACTGCTACAACAAGAAGAGCCATATTTAACTACTTATTTTTTATTCCAATTTTTAGACCATGTTTTAAGAGGAATTCTGCAAATGAACTGAAGCCATTGAGTCAATAGACACTATGCTGACCCCAGAAAATATTTCTCTAATAGGATCTCTCTTCTCAGTTTTAAGGCATATGAAACCAAACTAAACTTTTCTGTCAAAAACCAAACTAAGAATTTCTCTCCACAGAAAGACATGGTATGTTATTTTCAAAAAGAACTATCTTAAGGCAATGTGCCACTACTGCAGGCTGCACACAAACCACAGCTATCCTCCCCTAACCTGTTTTGTTTTCTAAAATCTGACAGAAATCTCAGTGATGGAAGAAAAGGCGTGTACTAGTACATATTCAGACAAAAGAATGAGATAGAAGTTTAATCTAAAATCTACAGATTCTAAACAAACTCTGTATAATACGCTTTTATTATTCAGAACAGGAATTCCCTTTTTCACTTCACGCTACAGAGAAACAGCAACGGACTGATTCTTCAGTTATCTATAAAACTGTGGAAAAATAAAAAAAATGAAAGCTAACTGAATTTATTACATAGCATTACTGGACTTTCAATCCCCAAGTACATCAGTAGGGATGGTAACGAGGCCCCGGGTTGTAGGAGTTGTAGCCGTATTGTCCGTAGTGGGATGGGCCGTATTGTCCTTGTCTGTGCTGCTGGTAGTTATTGCCCCAACCTCTTTCTGGCCTCTGATTAGATCTATAGTCACCTTGCCAGTTGTATCTGTCCCCTCTAAAATATCTGCCATCTTGAAACCTGCAATGAAAAGAAATATCAAGTTTTGACATAAATGATGAAGTTTTAAAGAGATGAATGATAATGAACTCTTTTATTTCACAGTTTTCATTAAAACTGTCATCTAACTGGTAATACACTCAAATAACAAATTCATGAAAACACGTCTACATTCATCTGAAATCAGTCATGAATTTCTTACCCAACACCCTGTTTGCTAAGGACAGTCTGTTTCCTAACACAAAGTACTCACAGGCATTAGGTGAACTGCTGCAAGTTTGAACAGAAGACTCAAACAGACCATATATGTAAAAAACCACCAGAAAGTCCATCTGTAGATATATCAAAGCCACATTCCCTCCAGCACCTTCATGGCTGAAAGCTTTACCAAAGCAGGTTTAAGTACAACGTAACTACCTAACAAGCACAGAGATCTGCACCTTCCCTAAATACATACTACCACTAGAACACCACCACCAGAGTCTCTTGCAGATTTCCATACTCAAGACACTGTACCTTCTCAGTGGTATTTAGCCATTGTTCAGTCTACATTTTGGCTTTTCAGCTGTATCTCAATTTCTATCAACGCTTGAGCTGGCTCACAGTTGTTTTGTTTGTTGTGAGTGTACACAAACAACATTTGCACAAGGATAACTTTATGGCCACAGTGTAGATTCAAGAGTTCATGAGTTCAAAGAGCCACAGAGTCTTTTAAGAACATTGCCTTAAACAATCACCTTTTTCTCATCACCTTCTTTTAAACAGAAACTGATTCTGTGTTTAACTTAATGACAAGCTTCTAAGGTGAGAAAAAGTTAAAATGCTGTCCTTCTTTTCTTCAGATAAGGCACAAATCCTATTTAGAAATTTAGCTAAGAAGTCTTCCCAGCTGTTAGATGGACTGAGTTTAACTACTTTATATTAAAGGCTGGTGTTAATATTACCACATGTACTATATGCTGTAACTGTTGTTTTTCAGTCACTCAAACGTCAGATGTTACTGTCCAAAATTCAGTAGAAAGCTGTAATTACATCTGAATAAATAATTCAAAGTATTTTGCTCTGGCAGGTAACATTGTACTTGCCAGACAGATTGGATGATTGATTTTACAGTTGTTTTCGCTAGATAAAAGAACCACAGGCTAATCTTACAAAATACAGCAAATATTTAGGTTACAAATTAAATGTTTATCTGTTGCTAGCTGTCCAGAAATCACACTATTAGCTCGTTCCTTTGCACATTTTACTTCAGTTATCATCCAACAGAAGATAGGCTGCTTAGTTTTGCAGAACTCCCATCTTTCTCCTCTGGAAAAGTGTTACTGCTCAGCCAGAAACACTTTTCCAGAAGAGAAAGATGATCATTTAACTATGCACTTGTGAAACTACAAAGATGTTAAAAAAAATCAGTACCGATCTCTGTTTCTCTGGTTGCCACCAGATCTGTTTCTCCATTCTTCTACTATAGGAGGGGGATCTGCAGGGCGTTTCAGGTATTCTTGGTATTCTTTATCTTCTGATGTGAATCGATGAGCAAACATCGTTTCATAATTCGGGGGCATGTCAGCCAAGGAAGTCATTCTGAAAACTTTAAACATGAACACAACAGAAGTGGCTTTAGTAATCTATGATGACTCTTGTTGTAATAGCTACCAAAATCCACTTAATGAAAACAAAGGACAATGCAAAGTTACATTCAGATGAACACAGCTGCCGATTTTTGGGCAGACACCATATATGATTAACAGAAAAAAGTACTTCTTCATAACACACTCCACATCCACTCCTAATCCACTTTTGACAGGAAAAACATTACTACAATCAACTTGAAAAGTTTGCTAAGGTAAGGTATCATGGAAAGCCTACAAATACACCTAGCCAGCAAGATAAGCAAAATAATCAGGTTTGCTATAATTTATGTGTTAGTAACTCGATTCAGGGAAAGGACAGCACCTAAGAATATGCAAAATTACCTCATAATATGCTTCTCTAATGCAATTTGTGTTTAAGGCCTTAAGTTTCTTTGGTTTTATATATGTGCATTTGCCCTTCAGATATTGGTGCTATCTGGTACTGGCCATCAGAAGAAATCTGGCCCTAATACCAGACACTGAGTGAGCTCCTCACCCACTGTTTTAACGACGCCCAGGTAATTTGGAGTATTCAAAGCCTTTGCCTGTTAGACTTCCTGATTAAGCTCTTCTGCTGTCTCCCAAAGAATTGCTGGCAGGACCACTATTCACTTTGCAAACTGGAAGGAAAGGAAAGAAGGAAGGCGGAAAGTCTTTTCTCCTAGACCCCAAGAGCTGAAATATACATCCTCACTGACCAAGCCCAGTTTTGGGCTTCTTCCCAGTGTACCCCTGAGCAGCTCAAGTCCCAGGTAAGTGAGGTGTTCACAGGGAATCAGCCCCGCACTCCCGCAGATGAGCTGCCCTCTCGCCAGGGCAGTGCAGGAGCTGCCGCCCCCACTCCCATCCGCAGGCCCCCCCTCCACTAATGACGCAGCGCACACCTCCCCGCAGCAGGTGTAGGAGTTATTTCTGCAGGATGCCCAGTGACTTCATCCTCTTTTCTGCCATGAGCTAACCTCGTTAGTTTTTATTACAAGCCATCCCCAAGGAACTCCGCTTCTCGAGTCTATCCCAGCTCGGGGTGCGGGGGTAGCGCTGCCCTGGGGACCCAGAGCTGGAGGTTCTCCCGAGCAGCGGGCGCTGCTCCCCGCACGGTTTGTGCTGTTAATGTCACACCCATCCCTCGCGGGTCGGTAACGGGGGTACCCGCCACCTTCCTCCCCCTCGGGCCAAGCACCGAGCAACGGAGCGGACCGACTCCCTCAGGGGGGCTCCCGCCGGAGCCCCTTCCCCTCACGGCGGGCCGGGCAGAGCTGGCGGGGAGGCAGCGGGTGTCGAGTGCCGCTCCCCCCTACCCTCGTCCCCCACACGCCCCAATCCATCGCCCCTCACCGCGCCTCAGCCGCCGGAGCCGCGCCGAGATCCCGCCTCTTCCGGGCCGGGCCCCGCCGCTTCCCCCGCCGGGGCGGCCCCTCGGCGGGGCCGGGCCGGGCCGAGCGGTGCTCTGGGGGTGGGACGGGCGAAGGTTTGATACAAAGCGCGTTGGCGTAAATAGTGTTGAGGTTTTAGTGTGGCGCTTTCCGTCCCCGCCGCGCGGGTTTTAAGGACGCGACACTTGAAATCACAAAATTGACTAGTTTGGAAAAGACCTCTGAGATCATCGAGTCCAACCTGTGACCCAACACCACCACCTTGTCTGCTAGAACATGACACTAAGTGTGCCACATCCAGTCTCTTCTTAAACACCTGCATGGACGGCGACTCCACCACCTCCCTGGGCAGCCCATTCCACGTTTCACTGCCAGATCACTCTCTCTGTAAAGAACTTCTTCCTGACGTCCAACCTAAACCTTCCCTGGCGCGCCTTAACACTGTGCCCTCTTGTCGTACTGCTGGTTGCCAGGGAGAAGAAACCGACCCCCACCTGGTTACAGCCTCCTTTCAAGGAGTTGTAGAGAATGATGAGGTCTCCCCTAAGTCTCCTTTTCTCCAGGCTGAACAAACCCAGCTCCCCCAGTCCCTCCTCACAGGACTTGTGCTGCAGACCTTGTTGCCCTTCTTTGGACACGCTCCAGCACCTCAGTGTTTGGATTTTAACTGAAAGATGCAACTGAAAAGGGTGAAGTGAGCGAGGTGCCTGCAGCTGTAACCCTGTGGCTGTTGATAATGGGATTTAAGTGTACTTCTGGTATTAAAAAAAACCTTAGGGATGTGTTGACTGCTTTGAGAGGAAAGTAAGATGATGTGAAGCCTTTTGGCAGCTAAATAATTCTGCATAAACCAAAATAATTCTGTGTTGGCACTGCTTCAGCAACACATTTACACTCCCAACTGGTGCTGTAGATAGTGGTAATTCCTGTCACCTTTAATACAGGTGAAGTTACATGTGAGCCTCAAAACTCAGTTGCTAAGCCAGGCCCTATGCAGGTGAATGGAAGAATCACAGAATATGCCGAGTTGGAAGGGACCCACAAGGATCATCAGAGTCCAACTCAGCCCTGCACAACACCATCCCCATGTGCCTGAGAGCACTGTCCAAAGGCTTCTTGAACTCTGTCAGGCTTGGTGCTGTGACCACTTACCTGGGGAGCCTGTTCAGTGCCCAACCACCCTCTGGGTGAAGAACCTCTTTCCAATATCAAACCTAACCCTCCCCTGACACAGCTTCAGGATATTCTTTTGGGTCCTGTCACTGGTCACTACAGGGAAGAGATCAGTATATGCCCCTCTTCTTCCCCTCCCGAGGAAGTTGTAACTGCAATGAGGTCTCCCTCAGTCTCCTCCAGGCCGCACGAAGTGCCCTCAGCCACTCATCATCCAGCTTTCCCTCAAGGCCCTTCACCATCTTTGTTGCCTTAATATCTTTCTTGCAGTGCCCAAAACTGCCCCAATATCCCAGGTGGAGCGCAGACTGGGACAGTTCCCCCCCTGGCCCAGCTGGCGATGCTTTGCCTGATGCCCCCCAGGGCAGAGTTGGCTCTCCTGGCTACCAGGCCACTTCTGACTCATATTCAACTCATCATCAACCAGCTGTGCCTCCCTCTGTACTGCTGCCACCCGGGCTGTTTCTGCTGCTCTGTGAAATGCCACAGTGGTTAAGAACAGCTTGCTGCTTAAAGCATCTGGGATGTTGGGGTGCCGTGTGACCCCCTCCTCTGAACAACTGATGGCATCAAGACCTTCCTGTAGCAGAAATGGTGTCGGTGTCCCAGTTGCTCGTTTGCCTTGTTTCCACAGCACTGATGTCTTCGCAGTGCTGACTAATTTCCACAACACTTAAGCCAATGATTTTTAAATGGTCTCTTGTGCTGTGTATGAGAAATGGATTTTTTATAGGACCCTTTCAGAAAGCAATGGTTTTTTACAAGCTCTGCTAGAGACTCTATTGCTTGCAGGCACTAACAAAGCATAGAAACGGATAATCAAGTAGATCACTTGAAACAAAATACCCCAGCAACAGCAGTAGAGGCATCCAGTTCTCCAAAAATATTAGACCAGAATGAGTGCCCTTTGTTTGATATAAACAGCAATAATTACAATCTGCTCTCCTGTGTGACCTACAGCAGGAGTGTATTGTCAGTTGGAGAATAGAAATGATGACCTCAATCCAAACAGCCTAATGCAAATATCTTAGCCTAGAAACTAGTTCTAAGCCAAACAAATTGTCAGTGAGGCTGACAAATATTATATTTTAGCTTAAGTTTTCCTCGTATAATCCCTGTTCTACTGACTGCCCTTTTAAAATGGGCAGAATTAAGTAGGACTTTATTTCTTCTCCAGACATGTTTCATTTTGATCGCTGGATATTGCAGTTTTGGGTGTGTCTACTGAGGATTTCATGCATAAAATTAATGAGATGATCCTTAATAAAAGGAGAGACTTCTTTATTTTTGAGGCTCTAGTCTGCTGTTTCATGGCTGGCATTTTTCATTAAAAGACCAAACTTAACATTAAACTTTTAATTATAGGCATACAGTTAATCATGTACATAATCTAAGCATATATATAGGTTCTGTTGAAGCCATGGGCCTGCTGTAATGCTGTGAGCAATGTACTTCACAAACTGCAGTTTTGCTGAGGTGCTCTCATCAGCATATTCTGCATAGAAAAACACTTGCAGGGAACGGCTAAGTCAGAATGGCACATAATTATCTAAATAACATATATATACACAATGTTTGTGCTTTGTTTCTTTCTTCATTATGTGTCTTTATGCCTTATATGGGTTATAACATCAAGAAGGAGATCATGATCCAATATCCTAAGCTTTCTTGTAGATGTTGTCCTGAAATTCAAACTGCACGTAAAAAAGCCAAAGTGACAGGTGATTTTTTAGGGAATAAAGACTCTCAAAAATGAATATTGTCACCGAGTAGAACTTTCAACACCCCATAAATGCATCACATAGCACATACCATCAGAGTAAGTGCCCAGGCACTTGAAAGGTCAAGCTCCAAGTGCTGTCAAGACAGAGAACTTGATAATCCACTCTTGCAATCTTTCTGCTCACTTCAAGGCTCTCTGAGTAATTAATGTGTTGTTTTTGTATGAACACGATCTTGTAATCAGCATCTCTGAAGTCTACTGTAGTGTGATAAAGCCTCAAAGGGTTTGCTTTTTTTTCTGTGGATTTCATTATGTTAAATAACATGCTTTCAGATGAAGTCTTATCTTCTGAATTTTAAACTAAGAGTTGTTACTCTTAGCCTATCAGAAATTAGTGAATTTTTGTAGAATGGATTTTCCTGACTGAACAAAGCAATATGTGCTCAAACTAGCAAAGTCTTGCTTGCCTTGAAACAATGGAAAATGACAGTTCTTTTTATAACTCTTCAGCCTTGATAACTCATGCTGTTCTGTCACAGGACTTTGATGTTTTACATGAATTCCCAGCTTCTGGACTCATGTGTTTTTATTATACTCAACTTTCATTTGAAAATTAGTTTCCAGCCCTTGTTATTACAGACACTTATTTGGAAAAGAAGTAAGTCTGCTCTACAGGATAACCAGCCTGTGCCAAGAAGCAAAAGGAAAACATTATTCAAGTTTTATTTCTTTAAAATCTTTTATCTTTTGCAATTTTCTGTTTCTTTAAGACTAGGTTCGTTGCTCTATCTCAGTAGAGCTTGACAGCTGTGACATTTTTAATGAAGAGTCAGCATGTGCCTATCTCAGTAGCAGGAGAAAAGGAGAACGACATTTTTTTTGTGCATTTCTATATCTTTAAACAGGAGGAATCCTTTTTCTTCAGTGTTAATATCTACCTTGAGAAATCAGCTAAGGAACTAACATCACTTGTAATTTGGGCCTGTCTGATTGAGGGAATATTTGTCTATAAACGAATAAGCAGAGAAACCTCTATAGATGGTTATGGATGCTCCTGGGGATTTTTAGTAACAAGTAATATGTCAGAAAATATTTTAGTGAAAATTTGTCTTCAAAACTCTGATTTTTTTCCTTAGCTTGCTGAAACTGCTCAGTGGTTTCCTGTCAGCCAGTATGCCTCTCCCCACATTCTTTTCTCAGTGTCTCAGTTACAGTGTAACCGAAAGCCCGGTTTGTTTGTACAGTGAAACCTGAATTCCCCAGATAATTTATTCTTGGAAATGGTGATGTCTGGCACAGCTAGGGAGAGCAAGACTTTTTGTTCTGGTTGCAGCAGGTACAAAGGGCATGCGTGGCAGCCTTGTTATTGATTACACATAAAGGGAAGCTGTGTTTCCGTGGGCACGAGAGGCTGTAAGACCGCCAGGGGCCATCTGAGCAACTAATGACCGCCAAGTATTTGCTCAATCTTTCATTGCACTGAGAGATAGGTAAGCAGAGATCCTTTTCAGCCAATCTGCAGAAATATTAGGGGTTGTGCTCTTTCTCTAGGACCTCCTGTGCTCAGAAGATCAGTTCTCATCATGGGGTTTCATTCCTTTGGCTGGAAAGGATTATTGCCTGGATGAAGCTCACTTAAATAACAAGAAAGATGGAGATACAACAGCTGCTACTGACAAATGCCTCTGAAGCCCGTGCAGCTATTCTGTCAGATCTCTGCTTTGCCTTTGCTGTTATATTGTACAGTATCACTGAGCTTCAGAGTGTCTTTCACACACCTCCATATGGCATTGTAAAGTGAAGTCCATAAAGGAACAGACTGCGCCGTTT